TAATTGATCGAACGGGAAGCTCTTGGCCCGATTGAAACATTGCCTGTTGAAGAGTAGAGGGGAGGGGGTGGAGGGGCGATGCTTCGAGGCACGTGATTGCGAACATTTTGTTTTTTCTTTTTGACAATCAATTGCAAGCACTTTGTGGAATTTTTATAACTAACTGCATTTGTAGAGGCTTTATTTTGCTTTGATTTTATTTGATGGTAGAGGCTGTTGGAATATCTGGTACAGACTTTTAGGTAATTATTATAGATTGAAGTTTTTTTTTTTTTTTTTTTTTTGATTATCAATTGCAAGCACTTTGTGGAATTTTTATAACTAACTGGATTTGTAGAGACTTTATTTTGCTTCGATTTTATTTGATGGTAGAGGCTGTTGGAATATCTGGTACAGACTTTTAGGTAATTAGATTGAAGTTGTTCTTCTTTCTTTCTAAATGGAGTCCTGTATTGAGAAAAAAATTCCGCGAATGGTATAGAGCTGAGTTAGGTTGGGTTCATCCAATCAGAAATGCAATTTGGATTATTGAAAATTTTCCGACACAGATTCTCGAATAAATAGATTGAAATTTTTCATCGTGAAAACTCTTCCGTGTAATCTTGTAAAAGGAGAAAAAAAAAGAGAGAGTAAGATTAGATCAACTTAAATCGGAACTTTCGTATGCACACCTGTATGTGAATAAACAAAGAAAAAATTCACAGAATGGCTAATTCAAGTGATACAAAAGCCATACTAAAGAAACAAAAAAAGGAAAAGGTAAACACATTGTAGTAAAATTTTTGCAAAATAAATTTTCACGAATAATTAGAAAATTCGCAACCCATTGAGGAGTTGTCAGGTGACTCCACAAATCTCTCGCAATATCTAAAAAAAAAAAGAAACGTAATTCCAGGTCTAATCGTGTTCTCAATGTTTCTGTTCGCAGTGTCAGAGTTCGCTCAGGAGCTTGGCGCGGTAATGGAGACCCATTCGACGAACGTACGTCGCCTGGTCGACGAGTTCCGTACCAGATCAGCTGATACCAGGGTGGATACTGGTGGAATGCGTCGAGTCTGGGAAAGTATGCTTCGTCAGGTACAAGCAGACGCTGAAGCTCACCTAGATTTAGCCGCGGTTCTTCAGCAACAGCTGTCCAGGCCTACTTTGGAGGCCAGCTTCCATCGAAAACTCCAATCGAAGAAGGTAAATCACCTGTAATCGCAGGAATATTTGTCCTGAATTCTTTCCGAGTGAAATATTAACCCTTTGCAATCGAGTGGCGACTGAGAAGCGACGTTAAATAATCGTCACTTGGTAAATAATTAACGAAGACAGAGAACAGATCTAGGAGCCTTCACAAATTTCTTCACCACGATGAAACAGAGAATACGTTGAATATTTAAATAAAATAGTATACTTTTGTGGTGACTGGGTCCGCCGGCGATCGGGTCCGACACGCGTGAACGAATGTGTGCGTGTTAGCGAAAAGCGAAGCGTAGAAGAGGCACGCTGGCCCCGGGACAAGAGGGTAGTTGAAGGTAGCGCGCCGAGCTGGCTATGCGACAGGGTGTACATATACTTTTTTCTAACGAATTGATCCCACGCTTTATTTCTACGTTAGTTTGAACAAAATTTCAAACATCCGATTTGCAACCTTTTCTACAGCAAAATCACCTCCGAGTGCAAAGGGTTAACCCTTTAACGTTCGTACCCATGACTCACACGTGCACATCTAATCATCCAACAATGTGCACTTTTTTTAAATTATTCTCTTTCACCTTCCATGTTGCGTTGTCCTTTTTATTATGGCAAAAAAAAAAAAAAGAGTAAGTTACAGCATTATAAATGTAACGAGAAACTTATTTCTTTACGTCTAGAAAGTAATTAAAAGAAAGACAAAATTGATCTTATTTGGCACATTAAGTTGAGAAAAATGTGAGCGTTAAGGGGTTAATTTGACTCGTTACAAACATTCGTACAAATCTCCCATTTCCGTACAATCGATGGAAACAGTTTAACTGTCGAGTGACGTTACTTTGTGCCAGGTTTGTTGAGTCAAAAGGTGTGAAAAGTAGTTGACATCCTCAGCGTCTT